CCCTGGTGCACTGGCTCAAGCACGACCCCGGGCGGCGCCCGGCCGAGGTACCGCGAATCCCGGGGAGGGGGCGCCTGGGCCTGGGGGTGCGGGAGCCGGCCCCGCCCGGGAGTCCCCCTCCCGCCCAAGGCCGCGGCAAGATCCTGGGTCCACCCCCGGCGGGGCCGGGCTAGAGGGAGACGGCGCCCGCCCTGCCACTGCGTTGACACTTCCCGTGAGGCGGGAGGCCGCCTTGGCCCGCTGGGGCTGTGGGAGTTGGGCGTTGTGGGGGGAGGGAAGAGGCGGCCCCGCGGGCCCGGGTGCGTCTTCCCCTCCCGCCTCTCTTCACATGAAGCCTGGTTCGGGGTTGTAGTCGCCTGCTGCGAGAGTGGGGCCCAGCGCCAGCCTCGTGGGAGTTGGGGGGTTATAGTCCTTGCCACCTGTTGCAGCAATTCACAGCCGCAGCTTGGGAGTCAGTGGTGGCGATGGTTGTCAGTGCTGGCACCCCGCGGGGTGTGTGGGTGCAGGTGAGCTGTGCTTCAGTAACACCACCTATCAAAGGGGCCGTTGGACCTCTTGGTAGCAGCTCAGACTGTCTCCCTTATTATGTAATGTAGATGAGGAGTATCCCCAGCTTCATGGGTCTTAATAACTGGAAGAGGCTGCTGCCTGACCTGTAGAAGTTGATCCGTTGTCCCTCTATTGAGCCCATTTTGCTGAGGGGGAAGCTAAGGAGCTGAAAGGGTACTTGTTTTGCTCCAGGCCACGTAGCAACTTGCATCTGAGCTAACAGAGCCCAGGTCTCCTGATTTTTACAGTCTTGTGCATTATTTCTCCCAAACATAACAGTAGAGCAGGGCAAGTGAGTTTGCCATGTTAGTATGAAGTCAGGCAGAAGGCAGGGCACAGCGGTGCACCTTAGTTACAGGCTCACGTCTGCCAGTAGGACACTGGAGAGATCAAATGGCTTTCTTTTTTATCTGAGATGAGTCCAAGTTTGGTGTAGTTGGCCACTGAAGTTTGTTTCTGCTCTCAAACAGTCCTTCCCTACCCCCACAGCCTGTGCCCCTAGCAGAACAAATATGTCAAGCAAAGGAAGATTGTCGTTCCTCCACCTTCTTTCTTAAGAAAGCTTTCCTTAAATACAGACTCTCTGCTCTCCTCTGAATATGTTGCTTTCTGTTTCACATGGGGAGGGACCATAAAGCTTTTCCCTGTTGAATAGGATCTAAGGGGAAAGCGCAAGTACAGTTGCTCTGACATTAGTAAGAGTATGAATGGCTGCCCCAGGAAGCTCTGGCATTTTTGTTACAAACTTTGCCTGCTTCTTTTGTGAGGAAAACAGATGTTATCTACTGAAAGACCAGCAGAATCTTTGTCCCTCATTGCATGAAAGAATTTAGGTTATATTTTAGTAATATATAACAAAAATGTTCCTGGCACTATTCTAAGATAATTTACAGGTGTTATGCTTTTAAGTTAAAGTTTAAAAGATGTTAAAGCTACATTTTTAATTAGTTTTCTTGATTGCAAGCTTTCTGCATCACAAACCTTATAGCAATCTGTATTTTCACTTCTGTGGTTAGCATAATTCCACTGAAATATAATCATGTAAATGTATGTATCAGACAAAGTAGAATCTCAGATTGGTGTACAAATGTTCATTCTTATAGCACCCCTATGAGGAAGCAAGTGGTATTAGCAGAACACTGGGGCACAAAAAATTACCAACCATGTGCATTATGAATTAATTTTGGCTATCAGTGTCTAGTGCCTTACATAAGATGCCTAAAAAAAGCCTTATTTCTAAGTGTGGATCATCTGTAGTGCTCTTATGCTAGTGGGGACATTTGAATAAAATAGGCCCTGCTGATCTGCAGTAGGGCAGCCAGAAATGGAGTGGATGCTTTTGTTTATCGCGCCCAAAGTAGACTGAGGACTAGCTGTCAGATCTGGGAATAGAATCAAGAACTCATGAATCTCGGTGGCTTGCTCTGACTATTAAACACTCTTCTTCAAGCTAAAAGTGTTAAAACCCCCTAATTACTTTTAATTCATGCCAGCAATTTGAAAGAGAAAAAATGCGATAACCCTTAGTTTTGGGTATCTTTCATTAATGCTTTGTCGTCTTTTCTTGCAGGAGAACCATATCCATGAAAAGCTGGTGTCTCTTAGTTTGCCTCAGAAAGACTTTGTGCCTTTCTTCTTGAATTTTTTAAGGGAGCAAACTGGTCAGATCCTGACCAATGGGCCTTCCACCCCTGCAAAAACACCGAATTCCAAGGCCCTTGGAAACTCTGCTGGCCGTGGGAGCCAAAGGACAGGCTCAGAAAGGAGGTCAGGAAACACAACAGGGTCAAGCAGCAGCCGAATGCAGCTCTTTACCCAAAAAGGCTCTGCTAATTCCTGTTCCCCAGATACCAGCTTTCCCCCTTCTGCTGTGTCAGGTGGCTCTGCTGCATTTACTGGATCAAACCTGTCAAGCCCCAGCAGTGATTTCCCCAGTGTGGTCTCCACTGTGAGCCCAAGCTTTGGTTGCAGCCCTGTACTTAACCACAGTGAGAGGCGCTCAGCCCAGAAGGCCAACTTAGGGAGCTTTTTTGCGGCCATGCCAGAAGTTCAGCCGACAAGGCGAGGCAGAAGAAAGGGCAACAGCTCCGCCAGTACCTCTAGCCGACAGGTGGCTCGGGATCTTGGGCGATGTCTTGCTGATGAGGAGGATGGGAAGAGTGATAACACTTCATGGAGTGGAGGGAGGAAGAAGCGCAGTGAAGTGTTGGGTGTCTCTGCCAGTTCCCCACCTGATCAGCTGAACCTCAACAACTTGGAGGAGTTCCCACCCATGTGTGCTTCTTCTGGCTTCACAAAGTAAGAGCATCATTATTAACTGCTAGTGTATTTAGAAAAATAGGACAGGCTGTTTTCTGGGAGAGCTGAGATTATTGTCATAAAAAATTAAATACAAAGGATGCCATATCTGAAAATCAGGCCTCTGGAGTGTTTTACTTTTGAAAATATTAGGTGTCTGTAACGTATAGGTGTCTGACACTTGGAGACCTTTATCTTGGGAAAACATCTTCAGGTTAATTCCTGGGATTTAGGGTTTCATTAGGAGGAGGAGGGATGATCTCTGCAAAATGGGTTTGCCTAGTAGGGTTTGCTGAATTTCTAATACAAATAATAAGTTCTAAGTAGAGATGCACTGATATATTGGTCCATATTAGATTGGCACTGATAAAAGGAAAATTGATGTGCTCAGCAGTCGGCTTTTTTTGGCCAGTATAGCCAATAATGTCTGATAAATGCTGTGTGCTTGTGTACAGACACATGCATGCACGTGGCCAGGAATGCAGCCTGGCAGCTTGGAGAGCAGCATCTGGCTGGTAA